TTGGAGACCGAGTCTCGCACTCGTGGGGTGTCTTGAGCTGGCGCTGAGAACCTGTAAGGTCAGGGCACCACGAGGGCCTTTTGCGTTCGCCTCTTACCGCCTGGTGAGCGGTAAAAGCGGGAGTGGGGAGCGCGACCGCTCCGCGGGGAGAAGGGCAGGGTTACGCCGGGGCGGGGAATGGCACCGCGGAAGAGCAACCTGCGCGCTGGGGCGTTTGCTGAGACACACCACCCCCCGCACCACCCCGGCCACCGCCAAGGGCAGGAGCTTCGGGCCAGCGCAGGTCTGCAGTCTCCGAGGGCCACGCAGGACGGAAAGGCGGATTTTGGCGGTCGCTCCTTGCGACGGGGAAGACCCCCCCTCCCCTGCTGCCCCTGCGAGGAGCGGGGGTCTGCGCTGCGCGGCGCCCCACGGTCCCGGCGCGCCCTCCCGGCGGCTGGGGCTGCCGCCCAGATAAGCGGCCCGCCGGGAGGCAGGGGTTCGGGTTTGGGCTGCCCACGGAGTCTCTTGCTCCTGGAAACACGCAGGCAGCGTGCTGTCGGGGGGCTGCAGCCGTGCTCCGACTCCTCGGTTCTGCAGGGGGCTGCGGGAGGGAGCCCCACCTGAGATGTGCCCGCACCAACACCTCCCGCCGGCATCCTCCCCGCACCCACACGGAGGGCCCAGGTCCCCTCGGAAGGCTCCGAGGGCAAGGAAGAAGAGAGGGGTCTGTGGTCCCCCCGCCCTCCCGGCCCCCCCCACCCCGATTCGCCCCCCCCCCCCCGGCCTCTGCGCAGAGCTGCGGCCCCGGAGTCACTCGCAGCATCCCCCCTCCAAACTTAAGTTATACAAAACGCATCTCGTTTAATATTCTTTATTTATTTGCGGGGCGGGGGGAGGAGGGATTTGTCTTTTATGGCCTTTGGTTCCCTTTTCCACTTCAAATATTTTTGGCGTATTTATTCCATCCCCCCAAACCTTTGACTATTATCCGCCGTGAAGCAAGAAGAGACAAACTTCAGCGCAGTCCCTCCTAGTGCCTTCAGGAGAGCACCCTTCCTGAGCTGTGGCAACAGGATTTGTGCATGCCAGAGAAAACATCCTCTTCATGAAATGTGTGTCCTTATGGTGCTCTGTGCAGGTTCCTGCTCTGGTTCCTCTTTCTGATACGAGGCGAGGGTGGCAATTAGCAGTCCCGGGTCCTCCAGTTTTCTTCTTGCTGCAGCCTCTCTTAATTGTGTCAAATAAGGTCTGTTAAAGCTTGCTGTAATTTTTCTGAGAATTTGCACACACAGAGGCCAATATTCAAACTCTTCTCATTTCAATATTTGTACCAGGTTAATTAACTCTCAGCATCTCCAGCCAATGTAGCAGTGAGACACAGAAGCTGGGGACCTCAATTCCGTCGTTGAGATCAGCTGAACAATCTCAAAGAGTAAGTGCTTGCCTTTATATACATAGGTATACATACAAATCTTAATATATATCCGCGTTGGGTCACCCAAAAATGGGCAGCGGGGAAGGAATGAGGTGTGCCCCCCTCCCGCCCCGGCGGTGCCGGCCCTCGGGCCGCCGCAGTCCCAGCGCAGCGCCCGGGACGGGGCCGGAGCGAGTGGCGGGTCCCCCGTGTGGGGCGAGTTTCACGGGCACCGAGCCGCCCTCGCCCCCTCTGCACGCCCCTAACGCCGACAGCGTTTTACGGTGCGAGGTGCTGCTGCTGGGGGCTTTGCGTGCTTCGGCGGAGCTGTAAGTAGTTAATAAAGGGGCTGGAAAGAGATCCTGTTTACTGATTGTCCCTGATTGTTGTTTTCTTGATAACAGAGCAAGCCACTGAATGACTGTTTGAGCTCAGGCGCCACAAACATAAACTTAACAGCTCCCAGTGTGCCGGCCCTGCTGGAGGATCACTCCTCACCTCCCGGGACTTGTGAAGTGCAGGCGGAGAAGGCAGCTCCCAAGGAGGCAGGCACCACGGAGGCGGGGGAGGTTCGCCTCGATGGCCGAGCTTCCCATACCGCACGGTATCTGCCCTCATTAGCTGGGGGAAAGGGGTATAAAAAATTAATCGGTGCCTTTCCCCGAGCCCCCTACCCGTGCCGGGGGTCGGGGCAGGCTCTGTGCGCCCCTCTTCGCAGCATCCCGGAGGAGAGAGAGATGCGGCTGCTACACCAGGCTGCTGTTTTGTCGGAATTCCCTCGAATTCTGTGGCGGCGGCTGAGCGCCACCGGCCACACAAGCGCTCTGGGCTGGTCGGGGGGCCGGTAGGGCGGTGGGCGGCGGCGGGAGGGCGGCCAGCCCCGCGGTCACCGGGGTCCGGCAGCAGCGGGGCAGCACCCGGCCGGGCGGGCGGCAGCAGCTAAATTACCTTCAGCCCCGGCTTTCACCCGGGGTAGAGAAGGAAGAAGTGAGGTTGCAAAACAGGATTTTTTTTTGCTGGAGCGTCTCTTTGCGCTATTTTTTGTTGTTGTTGTTGTTGTGTTTGCTGTTGTTTTCTTTTCTCCTGGCAGACAAAACAGGGCAAGGTGTGTTTGTCGGAGAGAAAGGGCGGAAAAGTTTTCCAGAAATAAGTGACACGAACCAAAGCAGAGCTCAGCTCCTATCTCCCGGCCGACCTTGGGCGGCAATGAGAAGAGGAAAATAGGGTGTTACTATGGCTTTTCTTTAGGAGGGCTGTTCAGGTCGGTAGATCTCCAAGGCTAATCCAAACAACCCGTTTGACTTGTGAGGTCCGGAGTCTAGACAGAGCTGGTGGCTCGGCGGCTCCTTATCTGGTTTTGGAATCAGCCAAAAGAGACTTTTCTTAATGTCCACAGCAGCACTGGGATCTGCCGGGGCCGGGGAGCCACCGCACCTCGCAGACAGGAC